CAACACAAGATGGCCGACACGTCGCCACGCACGTCACGTGACAGCCCGCTCGCCCCGCCACGCCCCCCGCCACGCCCTCGCCACGCCCCGGTCTCGCCTCCCTCCCCGCTCCCCAGCCTCCCACGACATCCTTCCTCTCCGCCGCCTCCGGCCCCTCTGCCCGGACACGCCCGTGCCCGAGACCCGGATGTCGGGCTGGACGAGGGCGGGGCCGCGGCAGTGCGCAGGCGCGAGCTAGGACACTTGGCCGCGGCTCCCAGTCTGCCCTTGAATTGGGCAGTTCGCGTCCGGAGTTGGCTCCGGCCCAGATTCCGTGTGACTCACTGTCCTAGGCACCCAATCCAGAGCCCGTTTGCAGTTCAAAAATCTCTGCATCGCTCACGAGCTGATTTCCCAAACTAGAACTGTTCACAGCTCTTCGTCCAGCGTGTTTCGTGGCGGAGCAGATGCGAAGTGACAAAAGCTGAAGCTCAGCAGTTTCTCTACTTCTTAGCAGCTGTGGCTGGACCAGGAGTTCATTCTCTAGTGCTGGAATGTGACAGCTGGGAAGGTCCTTGGAGCCGGACTCTCTCCTAGTGCAACCAGGGCTATACCCCTTGACCTAAAGATCTCCCATTTTAGGGCACACTTAAGGCACGACAGGATGTTCATTAATATTGGGGACATAACCCTAAACAACGAGTCGTTGTTTTTCTGAACTTCAAATTTAACTGGGTATTCAGGACTGTTTTTTGTGTGTGTGCTAAATATGACAACTACCCTTAGATCATCCTGTTCTTTCAGAGCTTTCAACTTCTGCCTTTTTACAGGGTCTTTCCCATCAGCTTAAAAAAAAGATACTCAAGTGGGGCTCAGCCCATAGCCAGTGGTTAAGGGAATGGGATCTCACATGCTCAACCCCTTTTCAAAACCTTACCCAGCCGCCTAAATAGCGTGTGTGTGGGTGCCCAAAATCCAGACAGGAGGGAAAGATAGAGAAGGGACTGAAGGATGGGTAGGTCTTACTGGGAATGCTTTCTCCCTCTCTCCCTCTTTTTCTCCCTCTGGCAAGCTCACACATCCTCTGGCAATTAAACAAATAACATTTAAAAATAATAATAATGATAAACCCTCAAATGTCTTACATCTTAAAATTTAATGCTGAAAACTGCAATTCTCTCTCTACTACTTTCCTGTGTCTCTGCTTCCTTTCAAAGCCAAAATACACTTTGAGTCTCCACATCTGCCATGCAACCATTGCCCCCCCGCCCCCAATGCTGCTCCTGTCCTTCTCTACGCACCTATTAGCTGCCAGGTTGATTGCTGGAGTTTTCAGCCTAACTTACTACTTCCCTGTCTTCAATGTGGTTGAGCCCTTCCTGTTTTCTGAAACATGCTATTCCCTTGACCTTTCTACTACTGCAACTCACAGTGGCCCACCAGCCCCAGCGCCACCTGAAACCTTGTTAGAAATGCAGAAACTCACTTCCGGCCCAACTCCTAGTAAAACGAGAATCCATGTGCATCTGAGGTGGGCCTAGCTCTGCCCCTTTAACCAGAAAGCCTACCCCTCTACCCCAAAGCTCTCCTTCCGGACCAACTCCTAGCAAAGTGAGATAGGCTGGTCTCTGTCTTCTTTCTGTCTCTGTCTCTCTCTCTCCCTCTCCCTTTCTCTTGATATATATGTATATATTTAATCTGTAACTACTGTCTCTTGTCTCTGACCTCTCCTTTCTCTTGCTAATTTCAGAATCCACGTGCATCTGAGGTGAGCCCAGCTCTGCCCCTTTCACACGGCGCTCTGTACTGCATGGTTTTCTCTTTTTTTAACCATTTTTAAGAAAAAAAATTTTTTTATCTATTTATTGTTTGTGTGTGTGTTTGTTTTGCCTTTTTTTTCTTTTTCTCTTTTTTTTTCTTTTATTTGACTTTCTCACCTTGCTTCTCAGCTTCGACACTTTGAATGTCTAGTCAAGCATAGGTGCACAGTACCAAAACATCTGAATACTTTGAGGGTCATAGAAAACCTCAACCCCAGGACCAGCAGTTAACATAATGGCTATGTTGCTGGACTCCCATATAGTCAACCACGGTTCGAGTCCCAGACCCGGTGGCTTAAACTCACGCCAGGTTCGTGTGCATGCGTGCCCCAGATCCTGAGAGGAGAATGGAGGAGAAGGGATTGCGATGTGGCCATCCCTCCTGGGGGGTGATTTCTCGCTTTCTGTCTCTCTGTCTCTCTCTGTCTTTCTGGTGAGCACACGCACCCTTTAGCAAAAACCTCTCCCCAAAAAAAGAAAACCTCAACCTCCACTCAACTGCTACAGAAAGGGAGGAACTCTTCTTCATAAATCTGAATTCAAATCTCTTTCTGTGGATTCCTCATTGCAAAACACAGTAGTAGAGGTAAAATAGGCATAGAAGTACCTCCCAGTTAAGTGAAGCATATGAGCTTACAGTAGCAGAAATCTCCAACAAATTAGCCAAAATGAATAGACCACCAAATGACTAAATGTCAGAGAAGAGAGACTACAAAGTGAGCACCAGGGAGAAACATGGAGCTGCAGAGAGCGCAGCTCATCTCCTCCCATACTCCTCTGGATTCTTAGTGGAAACCCTGCAGCTCAGCCCTGATGCACCTATTCCCTAGGAGCTCTGAGTCCTTTGTAATATCCAGTTACATTGACAAAAGTGCAGATTGCTTGATGAGAATCAGGGAAACGAAACTGCAGAAATATTGCAGGTCATCTCCTCCCACCCATCTCTATCACTCAGAAAGTAGGGAGTAATGTATAATCCATCAATGACCAGAAATCACAACAGATCCATAAGAAAAAAGGGAAACCAAGAAAATACCTCTCCCCCAAGGGGAAAGAACAGCCCTTCATCTTCCACAGATAGTACAATGGGACTCATGGAAATGTCAGGTAAAGAATTTAAAATATTCATAGTAGCAAAGCTAACAGAGATGCAAGAGAGGAGAGACAACAAACTCCAGAAGATGCAGGAGAAAAGAGACAATGAGTTCCAGGAGGTAAGAAACTTCTTGCATAATCTGAAAGAGGAAATATATATCATAAGAAAGAATCAAATAGAACTGTTAGAGATGAAGGCTGTAATACAGAAAATCAAAACCTCTCTTGAAAGTATTAAAAGCAGATTAGATCATGCAGAAGATTGAATTTCAGATGTAGAAGACAGAATCTCTGATCTAGAAAAATTCACCAAAAAGAATGAGTAAAGAACCACAAAATGAGAATAATATACAAATAATACCAGATACCATTGGACGCCCAAACGACGCCCAAACATCCGAATAATTGGTATCCCGGAAAGTAAAGAAACTAATAAGGGCATTGATAATCTATTCCATGAAATCCTGGGAGAAAACTCTCCAAACCTAGAGAGGCACGCAAATATCCAGATCCAAGAAATACAAAGGACCTCACATAGAATCAACCCAAGAAGATCTTCTCCAAGGCACATCATAGCCAGATTGACCAAAACCACAGACAGAGTCAGGCACTAAAATCGGCAAGAGAGAAACGTCAAGTTACTTTCAAAGGATATCCCATCAGGCTAACATAGGACCTCTCTTCAGAAACAATTCAAGCAAGGAAAGAATGGGAAAATATATTCCAAGTGTTAAATGAAAAACAATTTCAGCCAAGAATACTATTTTCAGCAAGAGTATCCTTCAAATGTGAAGAAAAGCCTTGAAACATTCTCAGATAAACAAAATCTGAAAGAATTTACCAACACCAGACCAGCTCTTCAAGAAGTTCTGAAGGGAGTGCTATACCAGGAAAACTAAAGACAGAAATAAGAGAACAAAATTGACCAAGAAATAGGCCAACTTAATGGTAGGGACAAGTTCGGATCTATCAATAATAATGTTGAGTGTTAACTCCTAGGATTTAAACAGAAAGATCAGATCACAGTAACACTGCAAATTCAACAAAAGAAAGATTACATGAGACTAAAATGGTGAAATAGATTTCTATGACTTTTGTCTAAAAGAATACTGATTTTTTTCTATGCTTTGTCTTCCAGATTTAAGGATTTTGGGTCTCTTGTGAATTGTTGATAGGTTCAGCAATTTGTTAAATTTTTTAATTGAAGCATAAACTTTTCTTCATTTCTGACCCCTTTGCAATTGGAAAATAATAGTGAGCATTCTTATTTTGTGACAGAATGGTTATTTG